AAGGTCATCTTAATCCTGTTGGTATTTTGCCCAAATTTATTTCTAACTGAATAAATCATAATAGATATATCTTTCATTTATTATTTTTTATATATTATCGAAAAGTAAAAACACATTATTAATTAAACTAAAAATTATATTAAACACTAATTTTTATTATTATAAAAAAGTAAGTATACATAAGTTATATTATATTTTTTATATATTTATATTTTATTTACATATTTTTCAACTGGGAGGGACAAATTTTATATACTCTAATCTGCTGATTTGCTGCAGATCAAATCGCTGTATAAATTTTTCTAAACACTGAATTTTTTGTTTTACACTTTTGTCTTTGATTTTTTTAGGTATACTTAAGCTTTGTATTGTGACATACGTGTCGATTTGACAGTCTTTAAGCTTTTCTATAAAAATATATACAGAAGGATGTGTACAGTAGAATGAAGAATTAAACCTTGAATGAAACGACTCACATGCATTTGTAGTTCTTGTAATTGAAGCTGTTTTTTCTGCCCATATACTTGGAGGAAATGTAGAATTTTCTTCAATATATGTTTCTAATAGGTAATCGGTATACCTATCGAGAACGGCATTTTCTGGTTTACTTGCCATTAAGTCAAACACAAAACAGTCTCCAACTTCATCGGCGTTTAAATATGTCAACCCAAATGATGTTTTAAGCCATTTTCCGGTATCACTGTTAGTTGTATATTCAGTCATTAATCCCAGAGACTGAATTTTACGATACCACGCTTGATGTAGATGAAATCGGCATCCATTGATTACAGTATTAGGCCACATATAAATTAACGCCTTTCAAAATCAACGAACACTTTAGATGGATTTAAAGCAATACTGTAAGTTTCCAAAATTTTATAATGCAATAACGAAAACAAATGTTTGTATATATCGGTAGATTTGTTTGGTAATAAACAATATACCAGGGGCACATAGTGTCCATTGATGGTAAATAATTGTAGGAAAAACTTTGTACAATACGAAAATGTTCCATCCATATACAAGACGTTCATTTTACACAAAGTACGAATATTTGTCTCACATGTAAATACAATAATATTATTTTCTCTGCTATTTATTAAAAGAAAATGTTCACCTTTACTGGTTTTAAATGTATTAGAATATAAGTCAACTGCATCATGCACTTCTTGTATATTTGTAGGTAATGGACCTGGTAGTATTTTGCGACGACTGTTGTATATAGTTTTTCTTATGTAGGACACATCAATTGTAGTTAGTGACTCTGGTAAATTAGTAGCAAGTACTTTACGGATAATTTTAGAAGGTTTTTCCGAAATATCATCAACTGCTTTTCGCTTACACGAATTAGAAATAATTTTCCTGTTTAATTTCGGTTCATTTGCTTCATGGCTATGAATTAGGTTGCCTCTGGATACTAAAAGTTCAGGACCAATTGTAAATACAGTGGCATTACAAGCATTTGTTTTTCTTTGGGAGCATCTCCAAGAAACTTCTCCACTTTTCATTTCTCTATCTTTGGCAAACTTAAAATTCTCTAAAAGGAGTACATCTTTCCCGGGTGTGCTTTTAATCAATGTAGCTGACATTATAGAAATAATTATTGTTTATAAACACTCGAATTACAATCATCAACGTATAAAAACTGACTGAAATATAAACAGTAAACACCCAAAGTAAGTACCTATTAGAATTATTAATAATCAGGTAGGTACCTATTTGTGGGCGGATGTAATTTGCGGGTTTAGGTACCTGAATGCTACTGTGGGCAAAATACCAGTAAGATTAACGCACCCCTTTACTTACACAGGTAGAAAACAGAGATTTGTGGGCAAAAAGGACCCGCCGCTGTCCTTATCGTGACGTGCTGTACCCATGACACAGATTACCTAGTACCTAGACCAGATACGAATGTACGCAGCGGCATCTTTACCGGCTCCCTCACAAAGGCGATGCCGGTTTTGGCTTAAGGTGCGCGTTTGTTAATAATAATTTATTTATTGTGATTACGAAAAAACGTTAGTAGGACCATTGGAATAGTTAAGAAATAAAACTACAAAAAAAAATAACTTTTTTTTATAAAGCAGTCAAAAATAGCATGAAAAAAATCAATAATATTTATAAATAGAACAAAATTTAAATTTTTCTTTTGGTTTTGTCTGACTCCTTCGGGGATTTCAAATCTCTGTTTGCATATTTAAGAGTTTAAAAAATTAATCTAAAAAAGTCTTATAAATATTTTAATGGTGTACATTTTCGCAAATTGTTGGCAAGGATGACCAAATTCTATTTTGCTCATCTCAAAAAGGTATGCGTTGGAAATTCCAGGATTTGTTGAAAAACTATCAAATAGATATATATTTTTTCTAATTTGAAAATATAAAAGAGAAATTTTTCTCTGGGAGATTTTAAATTGCCAAACACCTTTTCTTCAGAGTCGTATGCTTTAAAATGCGTTAACAAGTTAGAATTGTTAGATTGCATTCTTCTGAGAATTTTACGCAAATTTCGCAAGAGTAATGTAATGATTTTTTGATTAAATAGTCACATACATAGTAAAATGCATTTTGAGTGGTCACATTTACCTCCCTGTAGTCACATTCAGAAATCGTTACTGCCCCAACTGATTGTTTTGAAATATATTTAATTTTCATTAAGCGGAGAACTTGTTTTCCTAAGGGAAAAACGAATCCCGAGATTCTTTTCCAGTGTGTGCCCCACTGCCGCTAGTGCCCACGAGCCGCCACTGCCTGGTACAGACTTGTGCTACCTAGGCTAGGATAATGCACAGGAAACAAAAGTAAAGTAGGATTGCTATTACTATGTACGGGTTAACAGGAGTAGGTCTTTCTGTGTATAAGTTTAGTTTTAGTTATTTCGTATATATTTACAGTTGTTTAAGACAAAATTTAAGACACTCCTGTGAAACCTTGCAGTAGACGGGTTGCTTAGGGCTCTCAAAGATTAGGGACATAGAACCCTGAGATATGCCGATGATCTAGTGATCATGGCACAGGGAAAGTACAACACTATAGTAAGATATCGAATGCAAGACGCTCTAAATATAGTAAAAAAATGAACAGAGGCGGAAGGACTAAACGTTAGCCGAAACAAATCTGACATAATTGCATTCACCGGCAGGAGGAAATTGGAGGGACTAGGGCCTCTAAACCTAAGAGGTGCAAGCATCCAGCTTAAGGAGGAGGTAAAATATCTCGAGGTTATGATTGACTCGAGACTTACCTGAAACCAGCATCTAGAAAAAACCACAAGGAAAGCGGAAACCTCGTTAATGATGGCAAGGTGATCCTTTGGAAAAAATGGAGGTTAAAACCAAACATGGTATATTGGCTTTATAACATGTTGGTGAGACCGATAATAATAATCGCAGCTTTGGTGTGGTGGCCAAAGACACAGCAAAGGAAAGCAATAACGAGGTTAAGCAAGGTACAAAGAGTTGCCTTCCCCGGAATAACGGGGGCAATGAGAACAACCTCCACAACTGCAATGGAAGCACTAATAAGACTCCCACCTCTTCCTTCACTATGTGATACAAGGGTAGGCAAGATTAGGTGCTTGCAGATTGGGGAATACACTGGGAAATCTTAAATTAGACCAGGTCACATGAGTATCTCAAGGTTAGTGACAGGAGACGTGCTAGACATGAAATCATACCACATAACCAAGAGGTACTCTTTTAATACTCCATTTGAGGTTTTAATACAGGAAAGAGCGGAGATCACCATAAGGGAGCCCAATGCCCAACGACAGGAACGAACCTGTTATACAGACGGGTCTAAGACTGCGGAAGGCACTGAGGCGGGAGTATTCTTCAAAAACCCTGATATTAACCATAGTTATGCTATAGGAATACATTCCTCGGTATTTCAGGCCGAGGTATACGCAATTTTGCAATATGCAAAAACGAACAATGAAAGAGCTGTCGCAAAACAGGATATTCAAATAATGGCAGACAGCCAAGCAGCACTTAAGGCCATATCGAGTCAGAAAGTTACGTCGAGGATGGTATGGGAATGCATCGAAGAACTAAGAACACTGGTAGACCGAAGTAGAGTAAAACTCTTTTGAGTGCCAGGTCACCAAGGGATCGAAGGCAACAAAAAGGCTGACGAACTTGCAAAAAGATAGTCAGAAGAAACACCGGAACCAGACACAAAACCAGGAGTACCAGAAAGTACAGTCAGGGATTTCATAAACGACTGGATTCGGGAACAACATTTTAACTATTGGGGAAGCACCATAAAACAGGCACATGGAAAAGCCTTCATAGGTAGACCATGTCCTAAAGAACTGGAGAACTATTCTTTATGAATAGGAACCAGTTGAAAGTGATAACAGGGTTCATGACTGGGCACGCTCCAGTAAAGGGATACTTGAAAAAAATTGGTATGTACAATGGGGAACTCATGTACCAACTGTCACAAGAAACCAGAAACGGCCAAGCACATACTGTGCGAATACGAAGCTCTAAATCGCAGAAGACAGATACTTTTTGGACAACCCCAGGTTGATCCAACAACGTATAGAACCCACTCATTTAAGGATCTGTACAAATTTGTACAAAGTACAAAGGTGACAGAGTAGGTGCTATGAACTAACATGGAGTAAAACACAATAAGCCAATAGGCTTCAGTGTTATTCGGAGACATAGTCAGACGAGCCCAGGAGAAAAAAAAAGAAAAAATGTGTTAAAAATATTCACCTATCCGGTGAATAAGATTTATGTTTAAAAAGATTGAATGATCGCCCCTCCCTACCCCCCCCCCACATTACAATCCTGTATCCGTCACTGGGACACCCTCTATATTATTGCTTCTCAGACTAGTTTGTGTAGCTAACTACCAAGTTTAATTTTATTTTTTCATTAAATATATTACTTTCTACATTGGTACGATCTTTTAATCGTAATTGATATAAGCTCTAATAGGTTTGTAATGATACATGTACATATAATAAATATACACATGAATATTTTCTTTCTTGGTACTTATAACGGGTCTCTACTATCAAAAAAGGGCAAATAAAGGGTGATGGACGATAATTTAACACTGTTATGTTAATAATTATTCAAGCCGTCATTCAACTAGGTAAATAAAAGAGTTCACGTCGCTAATTCCTTTATTTATATTTCAAATAATTTTACCTATGATTTCATAATAGTAGGTATATATTTTACATATTCTTCGTTCCTTATTTCTTATTCATTTAAAAATAAACAAAAAAAAATGCTTTCATTAAAAAACAAAATACCTTAATTATTTACATATTTGATTTTATACTGCTGCGTCAGATTCATTCGATCATTGGTTGCTTCGATAAATCGTATATAGACCACGATACAAACGATGTTAAAATAAATAAGGAACCCATTATTATCACGAATAAATTTGAGAAATAAAAATAAAACCTTATCAAGAATATAGATAAAATTATTCCTAAAAAACTGGTTGCGCCGTGTGACGTTGCACGCAGTGATGTTGGAAAAGTTTCAATATTTATGACTGAGATCACAGTCATCACTATACTAAATGAAATCATAAGTACCGAGGAAAATATCATTTTTGTCATACCATCTTTTATGAAATATAAGGATACGAAACATAAGCCAGTTATGAACATTCCAAGGAACAAAGAAATTTTCCGCCTCATAAGATCCAAGAGGCACACCATTAGTAGCTGCCCTAGCAGTATATTAGTCGATAGTATAAGAAAGTTAAAGAATAAAATGTTGTTTTCTTCAAAAGTTCCACACATGTTATTATTTTTTAGGGTATCCAAATATATTATATCTATACCGTTAAGGGGAAAAGTTTCTCCAAGGTTTTTTGCTAGGAAAATATTAACATCCACTATTCTTAATAGAAATATTGACGTTTTCAAAACCAACAAAGTGGCTGTAAACTTCCCGAACGCTTTCGAATATAACAGCGTCAACGCTTTTCCAACTAATACCATTATATCAAAAAGTGGTCTAGAGAATCCCAACGTCTCCGGCTGATAATAAAGTCCATAATCTCTAACAAGATCTCTTATATCGTTCTCTTTCACGTCAAAAGAATTCCCGTAAGTTGACTTATTGATGGCATAGAATTGTTTAAGTGTTAGCACAGCTAGGTACTCTTTACGCGAGTGCAAGAAGTACCGTGGACTCTCTTCAAGTAAAGCCGATGCACAAGCCAATACCAAACTGAAGCCTCCAGATAAAGCAAAAAGCATCCTCCAAGTTGTCACGCGCATATCAACGACTCTGTGTTCTATATAAGACGGACTCCTAAAAAAAATTGCGACAATTGCAACCAATATATATCCGAAAGTCCAAAACAGATCGCACATTGCCAAATAGTGGCCCCGTTTGTTCATCGGTAATATTTCAGCTAAATGAATTTTGACTACATTTTGATGGTGTTCCAGTGAACCTCCTAAAAAGAACACAGCAAAAATGATCATGTAGTAGTTGTAAGCGAATGCCGCCATGAATGTACTAGCGAAATTTAAAATTAAACTATTGGTTAGTAGTCGTTTTCTTCCGAACATGTCGCTTAAAGAATTTCCAATAAAACCTCCTAGACCTCTTCCGATTGTAAAGCTTATAAATATTTGGTACAAAGTTGCTTCGTTGATTTCACTTTCACAACTTGACAGCGGAATTCCTAAGGGTATACACATAGCAGCGGTGGCATTTGCAAAGCACGAAGCACATGCCATTCCTAGCATAAATTTATAGTAGAGGCCCCATCCGGTTTGTGGTAAAACGTCTTCAAAGTAGATGTTATTCGCTGTTCTCTCAGTCATAATTTTTATGTCTCACAGATGATTTAAAATCACAATTGCTGTTTAACAACTTTTGAAGTTTTCTGTAGATCAACATTGATGGTAACGATTACATTTTTGTATTAGACAAACAACAGAAAAATAAAACGATGCTGTACATTGTGGGTATATAGACAGTTTGAGCAGCTGAGTTTTTGACAAAATTTTAGAATGACATGATAGTCAAAAAACTTCAGTTTACGTGCGTCAAGACCATCGAAATAGAATGAAGTAGAGACGACATAAACATTTATTTTGCGATATGACAGATGAACGCACTTAACGATTTTCCAAGTCAGACGGAAAAGTGTAATCAAAATGGCGACTTAGAGTCGTACTTTGATTTATTTGAAGTCAATAATTTTATATTTTAAGATTGACGAAATAAAAATAATTATATATTATAAAATTAAAATTATTAAAAAAAAAATAGTTTTTATTCTTACCAAAACTGACTAACTCCACAATCTCGAATTTGACACATGACGTAAAAGTGTAATGAAAATGTCACATACTTTGATCACGGCATAAGAAACAATCGGCAGGCTAACTTGTCTTGGCGGCAACGCTACGCGCACATCTACACGCACACCGCCATTTTGGGGTCCAACCTCTTAATCAAGCCAGTGGCGTCACTGTCGTCGTTTATATCGACAGGAACAAGTTGCAGCAGCTCGGAATCAGTAGCGTGGGTCTTAAATGTATTTTGTTTGTGATGTGTGTATTATGTAGTTATTGTTATTTTTTAGAATTATAGATATTTTTTGACACTTTTTATATAGAAGTTGTTTTCCAGTGTTAATTTGTTAACTTTTACGTATTTTACTATGTCTGGGCAAAGTTGTGTAGCAAAAAAAACTATATGAATTAAAGATCCTATTAGGTAGATATGTATGGTATATTTTAAAAAATATCCTAGGTTATGGGTCAGTTTGTCAGTTACAAACCTGTAGTATCAGGAGACCCATGTCTACCATCCCACCAAATTTCATTTTTTTCCGACCTTTTGCGAATAGATCCTCTTATTCTTTATCCACCGCTTGGACTACGTGGTCCACTAGTCAAAATATTTGGTATAATAATTATACCGGGTGTTCAAATTAAAGTGATACAGTTAAATATTGCCTTTTATAAAAAAACGTTTCAGACTAAAGTTTTATGGTGTTTTGGGGAAAACACTAACTAACAATTCTAATTTATTTCTTACACTTTAACTTTTCATTACAATGCACTATGCTAAACTAAACTGTGCGCTGATGAGCCGGCTATTTATATTAAGTCCAACTTTGTTACTACAAGACTCCATAGGTTCCTCAAAATTCCATCTCTGACTCAACGGCACTCTCTGTCCGTTCTAGCCGTTTTTAGTGCGTCAGCGGCATTCCTGAATGTTCTGTTGTCTCAAGTACGAGTCGGTTACCATCTGAAGGTCGCGCTTGTTTCAGGCACAGAGTCGGAAGGTGTTCTTTGTTACCAAATAGAAAAGATAACGCGATCCATCTAGAAGTTTTAAGGCTTTTCCAGGGGCTGGTAACTGATCTTGAAGTTTTGGCAATCGACCAAACTTCTTCCGGAATACAGATGCCAGACCTCGAGCATCGTAGATGTTGGCGGAAGTGCTATGGACCAGCGAATAGTCTTCTGGAACCGTGATCAGGTCTTGTTGTTGCTCGGTTGTAACACCATGTCTTGCTTTTCCGGTACCTCCATATGCACCCATAAATTCTTTAAAGACAAGGTCAGGTGTTTCTTCCCAAGACCTTTGAAGTTTTGGACAATAACCCTTTTGTCTTTTTGGGTTATGGAGCCAGCCTTTGTCGTCTTCCTTAAAACATCCTTCTGTGGCTTGGGTATCGTATCGTTTCTTCATTCTGTCACTGGCGATTTGAAGATGCGAGCGGACCAATTCATGCATATCGTCCATTCTTCTTCGTAACTGGATCACATAATCTTCACCAGCTACATCTTCTCTAGGTCGGCATCCAAACTCGAGGTCGCACGGTAGTCTCATCTCACGCCCAAACTTTAAAAATATTTAAAAAAAAATGGGGTTCCAATTTAAAAAAAAAAGTCCACCTCGATATGGCCATATTATTGTCAGCTATAAAAAAATTAATTTAGCCAAAATGTTTTCCCCATAAAACTTATTTCTGCATATTTTCGGCGGTATTTAACTGTAACACTTTAATTTGAACACCCGGTATATCATCAATTGCCACTGCCACTGGTAAAATGGTAAAATCTTTAAAAAAGTGTATTAGTATAATAATAAGACATTAATCATACTTTAAATGGATCGCTTACTACCATGTTTTAGAAATAAATAAAGTGTAACTCTTAAATTAATAAACATATTCCAAATAATTTAAGAATCCTTGCATTATGTCAATAAAAATTAAACAAAATTTCTCACCATTTATTTGGTATTCTGTCCCGTACTTTCATGTCTCTAATACCTCTGCTATCAATTAGTTCTGGTAAGGCATATTGTATATAGGGTTGGGATAAAGTATGAAACCAAGTAAATATCTTTAAAACGAAAAGGATGATATTTATGAAACTTTGCTGGCATCTGATGCCATATTTTTTGTTACTACTGTACTTCCGGTTTCACCTGAAATACCCTCAACTTTTTTAATTTAAAGGGGACACCCTGTATATTTGTGCAGATTTTAAAAGATCTTGTTATTCCGAATTCCGAATTTATAAAAACGAGAAATAAATCACTTTACATTTAAAGAATAGGTAAATTTATTTACTTTAGTCTAATGAGAATAATACTTTAAACAAAATCACTTCAAATGTTCAAAATGTTTGCCGTTCACCTCCACGTATTAGTTCACATTCATTAATAATTCTTTGTCTTAAATCCTGCAAGCATGTTGGTCGTCTAACGTAAACACGTGATTTTAGATAACTCAATAGAAAAAATCTAATGGGTTGAGGTCCGGAGAATGTGCTGGCCACTCTATGAATCCTCTACGTCCAATCCATCGATTTGTAAAATTCGCATCTAAAAAATTCTTAACCCGTCGATCATAGTGGGGAGGCGCTCCATCTTGTTGAAACCAAAAATTTTATGGTGACTGCCCATTCTGTTGAAGTGCAGGAATAATTTGATTATTCAGTAAATTTAAATACTTAATACCATTCAAGTTTCCGTCTATAAAAAATGAGCCTATAAGCCTATTTTCGACAATTCCCATCCAAACTTTCAACTTTTGTTGACCAATTTCTAGAGTTATGGCATTTAACTATTCCATTTAAATAGAAAGTTGCCTCATCGGAAAACACTACATTAGCTACAAATTGTTCGTTGTCATTACAAATGTCCATCATTTGTTCGCAAAACTCCTTCCGTCGGTCAAAATCATCGTCTGACAATTTTTGAACCAATTGTATTTTATACGGATGATACTTTTCATTATTTTCCTTACAGAACGTCGACTTATACCATGGTTCAGTGCCAACATTTTTGTAGAAGTTTGAGGTGATTCCTCTAAATCAATTGCAATGTTTTGGCTAACAGCTTTGTTCGTTGCGGTCCACGGTCTTCCAGTTTTTGGCAAATTTTTGTCCATCCCAGTTGCATTAAAACGTTGTAATGTTTTAGTAACCGTTGAACGTAATATGGGATTTCTTTCAGGATGCAAATCGTTAAAAATATGACAAACTTCTTCATGAGTCTAACACGATCACCATAACTGATCATCATTAATATTTCAATACGATCCTTTTCACTTAAAAGAACCATTCTTAATCGTACAATTTATTTCTGTCAATTAGTTTGGCAACAGTTACCTACTAGATAGTACTCGTTTATTTCTTACTACATTGTAATAATACAAGGAATTAACTAAAAATACGTTTTTATTAGTCTAAAAGAAAAAATTACTTTAACAAACAATTTCCATTAAACTTAGTATGTACGAATTCGGAATAACAAGATCTTTTAAAATCTGCAAAAATATACAGCGTGTCCCCTTTAAATTAAAAAAGTTGAGGGTATTTCCGATGAAACCGCGAATACAGTAGTAACAAAAAATATGGCATCAGATGTGTTATGCGTCATTGTACTTGCCTTCAAAGTTTCATAAATATCGTCCTTTTCATTTTAAAGATATATTCTTGGTTCCATACTTTATCCTAACCCTGTATATAGATTTGGAATTTTATTTTGCATCTTTTCTTCCCAAAAGCTGTCATTATGAGGAATTTTCTCCACTTTTATTCCTCGAAGAATCCAAACGCACAAAATACAAAACTCCATTTGTTTAATGTGCAGCTAGCCCTAAATTTGAAAATACAAATTGTGGTTCTCCTTAATGGTATTGTCCTTTTCTCAAAAACGTATCTCTCTACTGCATATTCCTTCTTTTACAGTCAGCACTCTAGCTCCATATGGACATTTAATCTCTATCATAGAGTTTTGCTAATTCCATCCGGACTAGCAGCAACGTAATCAAATTCGGAATCAATAAAAAGCACACATTTAAAATTTTTTTCTTGGAAACAAATTTTCAAATTGTATTTTGCTCTGGATTTATTGTCCATGCCATATTGGGTGGCTTTAGTAAAAATAAAAGATTTTATGAGATTTTTTTAAAGAAGACGTTTTGTTTTTCTACAAATGTCTCCAAATTTTGAAGTAGTGACACGTTTTCGTCTTTTATTGTGCTACAATACTAAATCAGCTTGATCTTTTGTCGCATTTATTTTTTTCTCATCTATACACATTGGCAAACTTTTTAGAAAATCTTCTTTTGCAAAGCGTATCAAGGAGTGCGACAGATCAAAGCCATGCGCGAAAGCAAAAAAAACGATTTACTTAGTTCGAAAAAATGTACATTACTTTAACAGATTAAAGAGTTGTTAACATGCTGGAATTAATTATTCTTAAAGATTTATTTATTAAAAAAACTCCCGTGAAATATAACATTTATAATTCACATCTCACTGCATACCTTTTAATTTCGAAAATATTTTTTAAATAAATAAATTAAAAAATTAATTTAAAATAATTGTGCAAAATTACTTTATGTAAAAAACAACAAAGTGTTTAGACATAAAATAAAGTAAATTCAAATCATTTGCATCACTTGCATCATTTGCATCACCTGAATCATTTGCATCACTAGCATCACTTGTAAATAGTAGAAAAGGATATACATTTTGTTGGTGTCACCCTCTAGACGAAAGAGCTTTTAACGTATTTTTTTTATTGTAAAAAAATTATAGCTCCTGTAGAT